GATAAGAAAGTGCATTGTTCTTTTATACTTTTTTTCTTCTACAATTCATTAACCCTACGTGCATGGGTTAAAGTGTATATACCACAAACTTTTACAGAGTGCCATTCAACCTGATGATGACAAAACCTTGTCGAAACGTTGTACATTTGCTGTTATGTTAATCTTAAAGTTTTTCTTCATTACCTATTCAAGCCGTCTCGAGCCATTATTAGTCTCAAAGTGGGTTCCTCGTCATCGAATTTGAAAACAACTGTATATGCAGTTCTAGAGGTTAAGCAAATACAATATGCAATCTGTAAGATGGACAAAAGTATTTTTATTCCTCTCATGAGCATCACCTTGCACTCTGACTAGTCAGTCAGACTGATGTCAGTTCACAGACATATCTTGAGTACAAATACTTTTGTAACACATCTGATTTTTTGTGTGTAAAACAGACATGTGCATCTTACTAAAAGCTAGCCATATTTCATGTAGATACACTTAGTAAATGTGGAATTATAGTGAGCATTATATCTCAACTACAAGGACAGTCCAACGATTAACATTTCTTCTTAAACCTTGTAATGGTTTTTATTGTTGTTGTTGTAAATTACTTCTAAACATATGCACATTCATTCTAAAACAATATTAGTTGCAACATATTCTGTTAAATGTATATGACAATGTTTAAGCCTAGTACTGAACTAACTTAATGTACAGACAAGGGGCCATTTGATTTTTCAAGGCTGTCTTTGCACACCCATCTTTGGGAATAGTTAAAATTTAAACCCACTATTTTTATTTTTTTTAGAAAATAATAGATTCCCTTCTAAACTCCTGTAAAGTGCTGGCCCGCATTACAACCAACAACAATTTGTTTCCCAAGATAATCACCCTGTTAAACAAATTAAACAATCCTAAGAGAAGCTTAAAATATTACTTCCAAATCTAAAACTTTCATTCTTGTCCTACCATCTTCAGAATATTGCACACACACAAAAAACTGGAGGCCTTTATCCTATTGATCTTCCCCAGATAATCTTCTAAACTGTGATAAGGAACAATCAGAAATATTTATATATCACAACAAAAGAAACCCTAAAATTATCTGGATTTTTGTGAACAATATACCAGAGAAACTTGTTGGTTAACAAAGAAAATTTGTTAAACATTACATGAAGATACTGGTTAAACAAATATGAGGTATAGAAAAACATCTTTGGCATACATTTTCCTTCTCTGGAGAGCTCTTGGAGCTTTTCAAACTGTTTGCACCAAGAATTAGCGTTTTATGTTAAACATGCATCTTTGGCTTAGTTTCCCTCTCTGGAGAGCTCTTGGAGATTTTAAAACTGTTTACACCTAGAATTAGTACCTTGTCCTTAACATGTTAGAATTTAACTTTCGGTAACATAGTATCTAATGTAAAAGACTGAATACAGAAATTTGAGCCTGTTATCTATATCTCTTTGTTGTTGGGTAATTATTACAATGTAACTGTTTAACAATTAAAGATATATTCAAATCTGTTTACTCTGTAGTTTTGAATCAAAAATGAATTGATTCAAGTGTTTAAAATTTTTAGATAACGTGTCCATTGGTGGGACAAGAACAGGACTAAGTATACTTTAAATACTGGATGGATTTACTAGATGTTTCGTGTTTTAGCTTGATTTCATTGAAGTTTTTGTTAGTTTCGGTAGGTGAACAGGTAACCTTAAAAAAATATTAAATCTCTGTTAGTAGGAACACACTAGAGGTTGTTAGCAGGTGAACTAAATTAACAAAGGTTTAAAAAAATTCTGAATACTAACGACTCTATACACAAGTTTCCAGATCATTAAGTCATTACTTATGACCAGTGTTCCCTCTAAGCTGTGCAGCCACACAACAACCAATCAAGTGCCACACACATCTACAGTACTGGTGAGGAGTCTTAACATGCTGACAGCCTTAGTGACCCTGGCAGTTGATAGGCCTAAAGCCCAAATAACCAACTGGTAGAATTGCAAAGCGGCCGAATTACACAGACCTGCGAGGGTTTTATTGTCTTGATATTTTTACATGTTCCACAGTAATTTCTGTATGCTAAATCTGAAAATAATATACATTTTTCTCCATCATGTACTGATTTTTCACAAGATGTCATAATGCAATACCTAAAAGAAAGACCACAACACGTAGTTTTGAGACTAAAAGATGTAGATTTCACAAAAAAATCAGGATGAATGAGGATGCATATTCGTTTGACATCAATGTTTTTCCCTTTTCTTCAGTTTGCTTGAATTTTTGCTAACAACCAAAATAATAAAAAATTGTCATTGTGGTAAACGAAATCATAATCTAAGTAAGTTTTTTTTCTTCTTCCCAATTTCTAAAAACTCCTTATGTAATATAAAAAAAAATTAATATTATTTTCAAATCTGCATAGCTGAATTATGGAAAATCCATTATTAACACCAAATCAACTTTTATGGAGATTAAATTTGCAAGCCTGTGTTATCCAATAGGATTGATGGTCTGAAAATAC